GGCTGTATTCAAAGAAAAAAATAAAGATTAAAATCCTTAACAGGTTACCTTCTCAAACCACATTTTCTCATGAAACAAGAGAGGGAAAATGGGAGGAAGGCAATCGGACTCCTTGCTCTGACCCAGGAGGCAAACAGTAAGGTAAACATCATTCCTCTCTGTCAAGTATACTCCAGGACAGGAGACCTAGGAAGAAAAAAATCATAGCAGTAGTGGGGGGGGGGGGGGGTGAGTCACATAGCTATTCCCACTTGCCACCAATTGCAAAACATATTTATTTATCTAAGATACTTAGATGATCTCAAAAAAAGTTGGATAGATATATTGGGACAGGAGAACTACAACCATCACAGAGCTAGGAATCACTCAGACACTTCCTCAGCCATTATCTCACAAAGTATTCTACAAGACAGATAACATCTTTAGAGCTCCCATCTGACTACTACCGTGTATTGTAATGTCATTTTGCTTGGGTTCAAAGACATATATGATGGTTAGTCCCAGTTCTGTGCCATCAGGCTTCCACACCTCAGCCTATTTATGATGCTGTACATCATTTCTTCTTCTATCAGTGATTTTTGGGCAAGCAGACATCTACCCCGGCTCACAACATCAGTGCAGATCTTGTGAGACAATGCATCTCTTCAGAGATCCAAATGTGTAATCAAAGGCTGCCTTTGCCAGTTGCAATTGGTTTTCAAGGGCAGGCTGGGATAAGCAAACTTTCAAGGGCTAAAGGGGACAATAATACAGGTGAGTGCGCCTCTGGGTATATGCACAGCGCCAAGAACCACCTGCAGCCCTGGTCTGGAGAAAGGCAGGGATTCCAGATCTCTCTAGATGCTGCTTTTGGGCAGGTCTGAGCCCTGGCATGTCTCCTTTTGGAAATAGCCTACACACATCCAAGTTCTCCCCCTGCCATCGGGCCAGGTAAGTGGTGGGGGCATTACAAACTGGGCACTGGAAAGACACGTGGAGAGAAGCGTGTGTTAAACGACAGACATCCCGGCTACCTGTTTGGGATTCTCCCCAGGGGTCTTACACCCTCCCCTCCCTTGCTGCCCCTCTCACCGCATGGATCTGCAGCTCCACCACTACCTTCAGCGGCATCCCCGCCCTCGGCCAGGCCCAGGGGGCTCGGAGTGTGACGAAGGACTCTCCCGCTTAGCCTGTCTGCCCGCCCGCGCCAGCGTACCTGTTCCAAGGGAAAGCGTCG